GGATTATCGAAAGCGCGGGGCTGCATCTCAAGCAGGAACCAGCAGGAGCACCCCCTGCCCGCGCGAAGAGAAGAATGCCGCCTGCTGCTCCCACTGCAAAGAGGTTCAGCACAATGTCAGGGCAATCGACTTCGAGTCTCGCACTTCCGCCCCAGAGACCCAATTATGGCCGCGCCGCGTCTCGCAACTCTGTGACATCCCTCGGACCCGACGCCTACGATAGGTACGAGGCATACTTGGAAAAGGCAAAAAATATCCCCCTGAACAGAACCCGCTCACAAAGTGATGCGCGGCCGCCATCCATGACAGCGAATGACAAGGTGGCCCCAATGCAAGTCGGGTCTCCATCTTCTTCAACGTTCACGTTGGGCTCGTTCTCGAGGGATAGTAAGTTGGCAGGGTTCATGAACAAGCTCTCGACTCCAGCTACACCAGATCGAAAATCAACAGCCACCATCAGCGGTCCCATCAATATTATACGAATGGAGGAGGGCGACGATAACACGCCTTCTCACGGCATGGGTCCGACATGGTCGAGCTTGGTAGACAGTGAGCTACTGGCTAATCTTGGGGACAAGGAAAGGAAACGACAAGAGGTAGGCTTCGCAGCCTGATGTCGTTGCGTGGGGCTGCACCTTGACTGAGAAATCCCTTTCTCAGGCCATGTTCGAGTTTATCACGACCGAAGGCGCCTACGTGAGGGATCTGCAGTTAGTGGTAGAGGTATTGCAATAATCCTTTTCCGTAAGGCAGTTCCGCGCTCATCATCTCATTCTCGAAATAGTTCTTCTACGCACCAATGCTACAAATGCTGGAAGATAGTGTCACCAGTGGAATCTTTTCCAACTTGGAAGATGTGAGTGGGAGCGTATTCCGCTTCAAGCGTCCACTTACCTTGACGTCATTCTTCTATGCCAGATTCTTCTTTTCAACACCGTATGTGAATTCAAGTAAGAGTCGGCGTGTGGTTCTGTGCTAAATTCTTTTCTTCTGCGATATCTCAGGGGCTTCTGTCTTCATTAGAGGACAGGCAGCGAGCGTGTAGACTCTACATCGATCGTATAGGCGATATTTTATCTGCCCAATTACCTAACGTTCAGATCTACAAGGTACGTTTGCGTCTTGACAGGATGCTAGGGGTCTTACTGATAAATGGCTTCAGGAGTATTGCATGAATCAAAGCCAAGCCATATCCCGGTTGCAGACATTGAGAGAGCAGGACGGTAAAGTCGCGGAACACTTGCAGGTGAGTTTGCTACGCCACATATACCGACAGGAATATAACTCATCAATGGGGGAAACGGCTAGACTGTTCGCAGCGAGAATTCTTCTGTCAGAAACCTCGACCTGTCTAGCTTCCTGCTTGAGCCAAGTAAGTCTGATCGTCTACGGTTACTGTGCACTCCTTCGACGAACGAAACTGATATGCCGACCATGAACAGTGCAACGTCTCACCCGTTACCCTCTTTTGATACGTCAAGTATGTCTTCCAATCCAAATGAATCGCCAGGTCGATATCTTAACTGACTGGCACGTCGACTCCATGTAGATCATGAAGTACGGGGAAGAGGCCGACGAGCTCGTGCAACTCGACACAGCGCTTATGAGTACGGAGAAGGTTCTGGCGGAAGTGAATGAGTCTGTTCGGCAGGCTGAAAACCTTGAAAGATTGAGAGTACTGTCGGAAGATCTCTGGATTGGCGGGGAAGGGTAAGGCCTTTTTTCACCGCATTTGTACCCGAGGCTTACTTCGAATGACTGTTAGTCGCCTGGATCTGACACAGAACACAGCATATTTGGGCCCAAGGAAGCTTCTCAAAGAGGGCTCGGTCTCGAAGGCCAAGAGTGGAAGGAAGCTGCAGCTCGTGTTGTGCAACGATATCATCGTACTTTTGGAATCAAGAAGCTTATATCGCATGGTTAGTCTGCGGATTATGGGGATGCATCGTACATTCTAACCTTTTCAAATAGCCTATACCTTTGCATGAAGCGAGAGCAAAAGAAGGATCTTCCAGGGATGGGACCGCATTCACTATCAATCAGGACTACAAAAGACATGGTGACACAATCGCGTTGAAGTGAGTGGCATACAAACATAATGACCTTCCTCTATTCGAATAAGACAGGATTGCTAACTCGATGTCTAATAGAGCGTCATCAACAAAAGAAGCGCAGGCATGGATCCAGCTTATCAATCAAGCAAGGGAGTCTGCCGTTCGTGCCAGGGAGGAATGGGCGAAGCAAAATCGGCGGAGGAGCGGGATAGGCTACTAAACTCAGCATAACCCATCAGTGGTACTCTCCATGGGGTTTCGCTTATGCTTGTATATGACGGTCTTGTCGGACAATGGTTCTACGAATGTTATATACATCATTCTGTCTTTACGATGATCGGAATGTCGACTGCGTTCATTTCAGCTATTTCCTTCGCAATGACGCCCACCACACGCTCCGGTTGCAGCATACCGGGTTCCTCGATGCGCTGTTCTATCGCATCTTTGCGCTCGAGACTGCCGCTCTCAACCAAGGGTTTGCTATCTAACTGCGTTTCCATCGACGGGCTCGAGTCGGGTTTGAACTCGAGTTTAACCCTGCTTGGCGTACGACCCGGTAATTCAGATTTAACGTCTGGATCGATTTCGCGCAGAGGTAGTTCGTCTTCCAGTTTGACAGCGATGGCACCCTTTACGTCTTCCGTATCGTTAAACCCGAATTCGACAACCTTTCTACCCTTGACATTGTTGACGTTTGCCACTCGCGAGGGGCAAACTCTTTCGATGCCCAATAGACACACGTCGCATCTTGGCCCAACAGGGAGACAGACGACTTGGCCGAATCCTACCAGGACATGATTGATTGGCTTGAACAGATGCGGTGGAAGCCAAGACTCCAGGTTGAGCCTGAGGAGGAAGCGATGCCTTTGAGCTGACATTTTGGCGCCCATGGCAATTTTATACTACTGACCTCGTCTGCTCTGGTTCCGTGGTCTTCGGCTTATGCCAACCAAGACGACTGGATGTACCATAACGCAATATGAGCGATATAAGTAGACGTTTCCCACATCAAGGACTCACTTGGTAATTCTATGCACATGTACATCAACGCCAATGCCTATACACGTCCACTCATCAGTTCCAAACATGGTTTCAACATCACTCGAGCTACTCTTACCAGCATTACTAGAAGCGGCAAGAGGGTCAGCACAGACTCACCTTGTGAAACCAGCCAGATCACTTACATATTCCACGCACATTGCAGCGCCAAGAAAGCCATCTTCGGACCCACCCCTCGCAACTTGACCAGCCCATTCAACGTCCGCGGTATATCCCCCGTCTCCTCTTGAATACCCTCAACATCCGCGTTCTTCTCCTCCCCATCGTCCAACCCGCCATCAACAATCCGTCGTGCCGCATCCTGGATGTATTCCGTTTTCCGGCGCCAGAAACCGACCTTGTTGATGCATTCGGCGACGACTTCTGGCAGAGCAGAAGTGAGCGATTCGGCTGTGAGTCCGCCGGGGAGGACGTCGTTCAGGTTGGTGACGGCTTGGCTGGTGACTGGATCTTTGGTTTGAGAAGATAGCATGAGGGAGATGAGGATGTGGAATCTGACCGTCTAGATCATTGGTGGATAAGCGTTTCGTACAAGCAGGGTTCGGATAGCAGGACGTACCTTTGGATCGCTCGACCTTTCTCTGTTTGGCGTATCACAACCCCTAAAATCGGGAAGGATGTAAGCGTCGCACAGGACATCATCGCAGCAGGTCGACTTACATGGTATCCACCGGAGCTACTATCCTCTCCCTCATCTTTGCTATGAGCTCGTACTGCCGTTTCCATCTTGAAGGTTCCGCATGGGCTTTCTCGAGCTTCAACTTGATGGGCGTACTAGGCCGAGGTTTCGCTGCTGATTCGTTCTTGCGCTTCAAAGTTTGGATCTCTTTGAGAGGCGTTGATCGCTCTTCCTTTACAGACTTGAGAGGCGTGGCGGTGACGGCTGATGCGTTTGGTGTACCGGTCTGGCATTTGACGTTCCTTCTTGTCGGAGTAGCAATAGATTCGAGTTTGACCTGTATTACGTCCTTGTCTATTAGATCCTGCAGATCATGTGAAGTTGAGACGGAAGATAGTGACGAGGACCTGGATCTTCCTGCTGGCGCTACTGCTTCACTGTTTATTTTCGAATCGTGCCCTGTCTCGATCTTCCGGCGTTTTCGAGGCGATATGCTTGCCGTAGAGGATCTCTTCGCTGCCGAAGAGCTTTCCGGGAAAAATCTGCTCTCCGTGAGGCCGTGACTGGTACTGATATCCTTCTCCCAGGACTGACCTACATCGGGTCGAGGTTGCTCCGTGCTGTCCGAGCTGACAAGGGGCTTCGTTTCAGCCAGCGAGTATATCGTAACATTGGGATTTGTTGAAGACCGTGTGGATCGCAAGGTAGTTGCCGCCCTGAGGGTACCGGGGTTGGGCATGATTACTTGTGAAAAGAGTAAATTGGCCAGTCGAACTACTGGCTGAACCTCAAGTCGGCCGGTTCGTTGAAACTAGTATGCAGTTGAGGGATGATAGGGAATCATCGATCGATCGATCTGAGACACGAGTATCCGCCCAACTATACATTTGCCTATTCTCCAGCATATTCTTAGCTGCATGTGATGCGACGAATGAGGATGTGTATACCGACTTTATATGGATCCCAAGGTAGTGCAAAAGCATTCAATCTTCGGCCATTCGTGGATGTACCTGTATCTGACAGCAGCACCATGTCTATGTTCCAGTGGCTTCCGAGCGTCACTCAACGTCCCGCTTTCAGAATCTATACCAACATATAATCGGTGTGGCCTTACGCAGCTACCAACATATAATCGGTGTGGCATTACACAGCGTGAAACAATATCAATGGTTTCAAATGTGTCGACGCTTTCTTCTTCGAGCCCTGGACAGTGAACAGCCCACTCGATTCCTATTCATCCTAGCCGCCAAGACAAACAATAAAAAATCAACCCAATGCGGGGTTCGAACCCGCGACCGTACGATGCCTACCTTCCGAAGAAGCTAAGAGTCGTACGCTCTACCGACTGAGCTAACCAGGCTGTTGATGTTACAAGAGGTTTAATAAAAACCATACGCCCATTGATCTCCGGTTCCTTTGCTGACATCATTATAGTGCATCAGGGTACAGTGCCGGACAACCAAACGCGACAAGTCGAGTGACCGCGCGCGATTTGCATATAGACAATAAGTAACCGTACAAATGTGCCCAAACACAGTGCAAATGAAGCCTAATCAACAGGACTACAGACCAGCCGGTTCGCTTTTCTGGTTTTATGAAATTCCTCAGACTTTTCTCCCAGATTTGGGTCTGCAGGGGACACACCCTGGTTTTTGCTTCCGCATGGCTTAGTCAGCAACTCACCGCCGGGGCCGCGGGCTCACTCGCTCAGTAGGCCATATCTGAAAGGCCTGGACCGTTCCGGTGCTTGTGGTAGTCTGCCAAACAGCTGCTCATATATTCTCGTGACTCGATAGAAGCTGCCTGGAAGGCATACAGAAGCGATGAGGATGTGTTTCACGCTAACGCTGCCAGGGGATAGCAGTTTGACGGGGTGTTTGATAGCTCAAACGAGGATGGCGACGCCCGCCTGTTTGATGGCGAAAATGCTCGTTTTGCCCTACTTTGACCTTGAATAACTCATTAAATATCATAGCTACGGAGGTGAGACTACCACTGCAGACCTTGTAATGATGAGGCCTATGGTATGAGCTAAAACGTGTTCTACGCATAATGAACAAGTGGCAACACCTGGAATGGCCTACCATCCTGATGGATAATGCAATGGGCCAAAGTTTCGTTTCATGAAAAATCCGATATTACAAGTCAAAACGTCAATGACACCACCTCATCCGACAACGTCCTTTGCAGCCACTGCCGCTTCGAGCGAAGCCATTGCTTCCGCTGAGACCCTCCTATGACTTTTCTGCTTCTTGACAGCCCACACCGCTGCCTGACCCGTAAGACCCAAACGATAAGACGACATGAAACGCAAGGCACGGTTGATGAACCTCTTGATTCTATCACCACCGCAGCCTTCCAAAGCTTTGACAACCTCCCCTTGCGCATGCTCCAACCCTTTCTTCTCCACCTGACGGTAGAGGTATTTTGCATATCCCCAATACATTTCTATCGGGTTGCATTCACAGTGAAACTTGGGCAGAAACACCCACAGAATGTTCTTTAGCTGACACCACCGTCTCCAACGCACTTTTCTGTTCCTTGAAGTCCCGTTGATTGTGTAGGATCCTTGCAAAGCAACAATCTATAGCGGTCTCGTAACATCGTGGTTGACATTTCGCGACTGTCTTGGGCTTAGGAGCGATGCCACGCTCCGCAAGGATTCGGGCAGTGCCCTTGGGCTGCGTTGGGTCCTCTTCGCTCATAAGTCGCTGCACCATTCCCCTGAGAGCAACGTTGGGCACATCGTCGGGAACGATTGTATCTTTGTACCATACGGCGTTCTTTCGCTTGGTGACGCTCCCTTTGTTCATCCCGAAAGCATCGAGTGCACCATCTCCCGATGAATTATGAGCGGAGGATTGGTCAAAGATGAAGACCGCTTCGACGTCGTCGCCGAATTCTAAGTCATGAATTGCCATCGCACGCTCCACCTGAACGATGAGCTGCTTGGTGTCCCACCAAGGATCGCCTTGAGCACCGGGCTTGATGATGACCCTTGCATCCATAATTTCGCCACTTTGCGACTGAGTATGAAGCAGACGGCCCGAAGGGGTGGCGTTGGTGACGAAATCGGAGACATGGATGATCCGCCCTTGACCCTTTCCTGGAAGGATCTGCTGTGTGGTGTGCAGCCAGTTGGTCTTCCTGAAATCCTTTTGGTGGAAGCAGGATTCATCATGATAATAGATGACGGTCCGCTTCTCGCCGTTGACGAGCTGCGGCTCGATTCGCTTCCATCCGTCACCGTCCGGCTCGAACCCTACACTTCGGCGCTCCTTCTCCGCCATGGCAGGAAGGAACTCCTCTATCCTGTATTTGACGACATCTTCACGTTCATGACCATCTTCATAGACTCCTTTCTTAGTCGGCTTCGGTGTGTAACCTAACTTTTTGAGCCAGCGACGTGCCGTACGCTCACAGAGGGCTGCGTCGGGAAGGTAACCAAGAGTCGGCAGTAGGTCCGCTATAGCTTGACGGAACCGCCGCGGAGTTATAGAACCAATGGACTGAGACTCCAGCCAGCTTGAGACAGCGGTATGAAACGCTTCCATCTTGAGCAGACTTGAGCCGGCACGGATGCCTCCTCGAGTCTCAGCCGGTAGTCGGCGAAAGCGGAGGAAGAAACGCGCTAGATATCGTATCCGACGTGCTAAGGCTACCCCTTTTCCCATCCGCCATATGCTTGCTACTGTTACGGAGGCGAGCATCATTCCGTCTCCTTTGAGACGTCGTATGAAGAAGTTTCGGAGAATGGATAAGGGAGCGATCGCCGCGGGATGCAATGCGACTGCCTTTTTGCCTTTGCCGGAGAGCAAACAGTCGATGCGCTCAAGCGCCTCAGTGACGGTGAGAAGGGTATCGGAAGCATGAGTGTCATTCGGAGTGTCGGCCTCCAGTGCGGCGGAAGCGATATCGTCGGCTCGACCGTTTGCGCTCACGCGGACCAGAGTATTCATCATGACGTTGTCATTGATATCTACAGTCAACCGTCACAATGAGCTTCCACCCATTCAAGAAAAAATCCAGCTTGCTCATAAGCCACCCACACGAACCTTCATCTCGCATCAGAACACCGTCACTCGAAACCTCATCCTCATGATGTCCTTCATCTGACACCTCATCTTTCCCTTCGTTCTCCTCTCCATCATCCTCATCCCCTATATCATTGTCTATGCCGCCTGCATATGCCTCGAGCTCGAGCTCGACTGCGACTGTTCCAATTCCTCCCGCGACAGTAACTTCCTGGCCTTGTATCCAGTCCTCAATCAGCTCTGCGTACGGATCTGCAAGCTTTTGAGACGTTTCCGTTACATGTTTTTCATCGGTGGAGACAAATTGCTCTGACTCGGATTCATTGTCGGATTCGTCACTGATGAGGGTGATCACATCGTCAATGGTGGGAGTCATGATGCGAGCGGGGAAGGGTGCCTTAGGCTTGGGCGCGAAAGGTATCGTGGATTGTATATGCGGAATTTGTCGGCTTGTTTCAAAGTCCTCCAGCATTCGGGCTCTCCTCTTGTTTCTGTTCACTGTCGTCTTGGCCCTAGACGTGAAAGAACTGGCATAGGCACCCCGGCGTAAAGCTTAATGGGTGACATTATCAACGCGAGCTCGAATGCAGATCCTATATGGACGAATAACAGCTAAGGAACTAACCTTGAGCCTTATGAGCTTGTAACAAGGCGAAGGCAGTATCTCTCACGGCCGGTGCCCTATCCTCCTCGTCCAGCGCATCCTCACTGCATATGAAATCCTCGTCTTGTGGGTCATCAAGGAATATCCAGTTCGAATCTTCCGCGGCTGGTGTTACAACGATAATAGGAAGCGTTACAGGAGCCGATGTGGGTGATTTTGCAGGGATAACTGGCTCAGGTGTCTTTTTCGTGAATTTCCCTTGTATCCTTTGCGGCATCTTTCTCATTTTGGGCGGCATGATGGATGTGAATACACCGAAGAGGGTTGTTGAGGTGATACAGTAAGGGAGGACACAGGTCATGCAACAATATAGCAATTGTAATCTACTAAATAGGGCGTATATGTTGCTTGAACATCCATCCGCCCGGCGCGTAGACAATCAGTCAACCAAAAACAGGCTGACTTTTTTGCCAAAAATATTTTCTCCTTGAATTCGAGCTTTTACCCGATTTCGGGATTCAGGCAATATGTTCGGGAACTACCGAGATTTGGGCCGCGGAAGCAAATTTAACACCCCAAAAACACCTCGGTTTTGGACAGCTCTGAATGTCAGCTGTCGGCTGGCGAATTTACTAAGATTTTTGACGATTTCTTACGGAGATACAGGGGTTGTCATCTTTGGTTGTCCGGCACTGTAGTTCAGCCATTCTTTGGAGCCACACTCTGCGGCGCTTTTATTGCATTTACGGCCCCATTTCGGGGTCAAAAGTGCCACGGCAAATTAAGGCTCCAGAAGTGCCGTGTTTTTGTCCCACAACAGGGTCCGAAATGCCTTGTGGGTAACTGACGTACCGGATAGAGCTGCGTTGACGTGCTGACAGTTGAGGAAAGCCGTATGATAAGACACCAAAGACAGGTTATCGAATATCGATCAAGAGATAACGGTCGCTCACCCTATCAACGGGAACTCGAAAAGCGATGCAAATACTATAACACGCTTTTGGCGAGCTTTGGTGAAAGAGGAGGCATGATCCCGCAGAGAGTGTATTCGTCGATCAATGGGGACGATAACAGGGAAGCGGAACACGATGTCCTTTGTGTCTGGGGACTGGCGAAGTGGGATTCTGAAGAGGAAAGCGACAACGATATGGATGACGAGAAGGACGATGACGACAATCCGCAAGAGGACGCAGACCACTCTCTGCAAACACAAACACCGGCTTCCAAAACGAAGAAACCTGCAAAACCTTTAATCGGCGGTAGTTCCAGCGCGAGTCTCTCCACAAGAGGCTCTGGATCCTGATCTCGATAGCTGGCGTTTGAGAACACGGGATTGTCCTCCAGGAGATTATCAAGCCGCCAAAAACACATCTTCGACATCCTAGCCTCTTGACGGAAATGGCGATCATCATAATTACGTATCAACTCGAATCGCGCAGCTCGAATTGCTGCTCGCATATTGTATCGCAACGGCCGGTTGATATACCGCTGGGACGCGATAGACTCGTGAAGCATCATGGCGATTTCCAACAGTTCTGTGTCATCCTCGGCCTCCCCGATATCAAGAGAAGGAAGAGATCCGCAAAATCCTTGAGCTGTTTCAGAGACCGTTGACGATCGGATAGTCGGGGCATTGCAGGCCAGGCTTGGAGAGGGTGCCGTGTGGTGCTCCAGAATGGGATAGACGGAGGTGCTGCATGCGCGAGGTTGACTGGGGATTAG